TCAATCCCCAGTAGGGGGCCTGCAGGAGGCAGCTGATCAATGATTCTCTCTCATCATTGATGTTTCTATCTCTCTCTCCTTCTCCCTTCCTCTCTGAAATCAATAAAGAAATATATATATATTTTTTAAAAAGCAGTTAGGATGGGTAGTCACCTCCTAGGCCGGTATCTTCCCTTACAAGGTCAACCTTTACCATAACTGAGCCTATTGTCTTTTTGCATCTGTAATAACATATCCTTGAAGTGTCTGGGTAACTTGTAACTTCCCTTTTTTTCCAGACCCCTCGGGGCACAACCAAATGCCCTGGGCTCCAGGAGACCATAAATTCCTTCATTTTTATTGTTATTATGTTAGTTGTTGACTGTTAACTACCCTGCAGCCACCTAAGTGTGTGTCTATCATTTTACTTTTTATCCAATCCCAGAGGTTCTCCCCCACCCCTTTTCTTTCTCCACCTCCCTAATCTATCACCAATCTCCTCCTTAGATTGTAATGTATAAAACAAGATAAAAAACTGCCATTCTCCAGAGCATTATCCCAATCCATTGAGATTCTGCTTCCTGGCAATTGTCAACAGTTTGGCTCAAATAAACTCATAAAAAATTTCTTTACAGATTTGAATGTTTTTACATTAACACTTGTGAAGAGCACTTTTAAGATCTGTTGTCTTAGCAACCTTCAAATATTCAGGACAGTATTATTAACTCCTAGAGGCCTGGTGCACAAAATTCATGCACTCGGGGGAGCCCTCAGCCCGGCCTGCACCCTCTTGCAGCCTGGGAGCCCTTGGGGGATATCCAACTGACTGGGAGTGGGCCTAAGTTGGACATCCTTAGGGCTGCGTGGAGGTGAGAGAGGCTCCCACCACCGCTGCTGTGCTCGCCAGCTGTGAGCCCAGCTTCTGACTGTGGGAGCGCACTGACCACAAGGGGGCAGCTCCTGTGTTCAGCATCTTCCCCCTGGTGGTCAGTGCATGTCATAGCAACCGATTGTTCCACTGTTTGGTCAATTGGCATATTAGCCTTTTATTATATAGGATAGTCACTATGCTATACATTACATCCCCATGACTTATTTATTTTATGACTGGAAGTTTGTACCTTTTGATACCCTTCACCCATTTTGCCTACCTTCCACCCCCTGCCTTTTGCAACCACTAATCTGTTTTATCAATGAGCTTGGGTTTTTTGTTTGGTTGGTTGGTTGATTTCTTTTTCTTTTTTTTTTTTAAGATTCTACATATAAGTGAGATTGTATGGTATTGGTGTTTCTCTGGCTGATTTATTTCACTTAGTTTATGGCCTCAAGGTCCATCCAGGTTGTTGCAAATAGCAAGATTTCATTTTTTTATGGCTAAATTATATATATATATCACATCTTTGTCCATTTATTCATTGATGGACACTTAAGTTGTTTCCTTTTTTTAAAAAAATAAATCTTTATTGTTCAGATTATTACAGTTGTTCCTCTTTTCCCCC